ACAAGAAAATAGTAAATGCTGTTCATTAAATGAAAATGAGCCATTGTGAGATCAAGGACCAAAGACTTTAAGTGTGTTCCTTCCCTGCTCCCCCCAAACTTCATAAAGAAGACTTGTCAGCTTAGTTTCTGTGAAAAGAAGCTATAAATATGAACACATGAAAAATGTCATCTCTGGACTGTTTGGATTCTATCAGGACATAATAACCAAATGAGAAGACTGAGAGGTAGCCCTAAAAAGACTTTTGGAAAACTAACAGATGACTACATTGCTGCTACCTTTTGAAATTATAGAGAATGACTTACTTGTACTTATATAGTACCTACTTTAATCTTTCAATAATTCACATCCCTTTTTTTAGCTAATAAATCTTTAGTTGGTTCACTCTCGAACTGGCTACTAGAACAGTCTTTGGTGTAAGATCTAGGATGAAAATTGACCTGAGTGAGTGACTGGTCTTGGGTCTATAACCAAGGGCTCTCTTGCGCAAGAAAATATGCAAATGAGGCAAAGCAGTGAATATCATCGCACCTCACTTGCATACTTAATGAGCTGCCATTTTTGTGCAAGGGGCTTTTGCATAAAACCCCCCTTTTGCACAAAAGCCATTCTTCGTGAAAAAAGTGGCAGAACGGCTCTTGTGCAAGAGGGGAGTTTTGCACAAAAAAGAGCCATACAGACAGCTCCTTTTTGCACAAAAGCCCCTTGTGCAAAAATGACGGCTCATTAAGTATTCAAATGAGGCATGGTGATATTCATTGCTTTGCCTCATTTTCATATTTTCTTGCACAAGAGGGGGCAGTCTAAATGTAGCCCAAATGTTTTCTGTTATTTGGTGTTACTGAGCAACTTTCACATAATCCATCTAATCTGGGAGGCAAGATAGTCCCTTTAGATACTCCAGTCTATTGGGATGTGTCTAGACTACAGGACATTTTCGAAAAAAGTGGCCTCATTTTACGAGGAAGAACGCAAACAGTGCTTTTTCGAAAGAGAGCATACAGACTCCCTGGGTACTCCCTTTCGAAAATACTGGTTGCTGTCTAGATGCTCTCTTTCAAAAGAGGCTTTTTCAACAGATTCTTTCAAAAAAGCCTCTTTCAAAAGAGGCTTGTAGTCTAGACGTAGCCTCGGTGACTATCTTACAAGACTATTGGGGTGCATCTAGACTGGCAAGATTTTGCCAGTTGTCTACACTGGCCACTTGAATTTGTGCAAGAGCACTGACTTTGTAATGTACAAAATCAGCGCTTCTTGAGCAAATACGTTCACGCTCCCGCTCGGGAAAAAGCCCTCTTGCGCAAGAATACTTGCGCAAGAGGGCCAGTGTAGACAGGAAAGAACTGTTTTTCACAAAAAAGCCCTGATGGCTAAAATGGCAATAGGCGCTTTCTTGTGCAAAATCGTGTCTAGACTGGCCATGGATGCTTTTGCGCAAAATCACTTTTTGTGCAAAAGCATCCGTGCCAATCTAGACGCGCTTTTGCGGAAATACTTTTAATGGAAAAATGTTTCAGTTAAAAGTATTTCCGCAAAATCATACCAGTCTAGACGCAGCCTTGTAGTATTTTGGGAGCTCATATTTATTATTGAGTTGATGAAATCTAATTATAGATAGGGCCATATCAAATTTACAGCCATGAAAAATGCATCATGGACTGTGAAATCTAGTTTCCCCACATGAAATCTGGTCTTTTGTGTGCCTTTACCTTATACTGTACAGATTTCACAGGGGAGACGAGCATTTGTCAAATTAGGGGCCCTTGCCCAAAATGGAGTTGCAGGGGCGTTACAATGTTATTTTAGGGGCCTGCAGTATTATCACCCTTACTTCTGTGCTGCCTTCAGCTCTGGGAATGGGGGAGGGAGGAGGAGCTGCAGACTGGTGCAGTACAGAAGTAAGGATTGTATGGGATGTAGTGCCACTCTTAATTCTGCACTGCTTCATTCAGACCTCGGTGCTCAGAGTGGTGGCAGCTGGCTGAGGGTCCAAATCTGTAGGGAGTTGCACAGGAGTCTGGGTGGCAATATCATGCCATGCCTCCTTACTTCTGCATGGTTGCTGGTGCTGCTCTGCCTTCAGAGCTTGGCTCCTGCTCTCCTATTCTGAAGTCAGTTCCAGCAGCAGCACAGGAATAGGAATAGCACTACCTCAACCCCTTTGTAATTACCTTGCAATTCCCCCACCCAAGTCCTTTATGGGTCAAGACTCCTATAATTACAGCACATGAAATTTCGGATTTAAATAAGTGAATAATGAAATTTATGATTTTTAAAAATCCTATGACTATAAAGTTAATAAAAATGAACCATGAATTTAGTTGAGCTGTAATTAGAGAACATTTATTATGTGCTGTGGATATTCTTAATGAGTCTATGTGTAACCCACACCTACTGGGTGTGGTGTGCTGTCCCTTGTAGTGACACTTAAACCACTTACAGAGAGAAAAAATGAGTTTGCTCTACAGCCACAATTGAGAGCCAGCTGGTTTTAGCTCAAGCTGTACAAGCTTATGCACTAAGCTCTAGAGGGCTCAGGTTTGGTTCTGCCTGTCTGCATTACAGATGTAAAAAATGACAGTGGACAGTGCCCTTGAAATCATGGCTTCTTATCCTTGTTTCAGATTCCAAAATCTCGCAGAAGTAAATCAGAAGGCTGTCCTGTGCACTGTGCATTAGGGATGTTAAATATCGGTTAACTGAATAGTCAAGTAACCTAATTAATTCTTATCGGTTAATCAACTATTCTATAGTACCCAGCCAGTACGGCAGCCAGTGCTCTCTGGCCCTATTCCCAAGGAGCCCTCTGTCACACCGCGCTGCTGCCTCTGTATCAGACGCAGCAGCATGGGATGCCAGGACGGAAATGGTCCATGAGGGGAGCTGGTTTAAAAAATCAACTCCCCTTGCAGACTGACTGCCTGTTGGCCTGTGCTGTTGCCTCTGATATAGAGGCAGCAGCCTCTGTCTGGGGCAGGGAAGGTCTGAGCTCCCAGACGCAGTGCAAGCAGGAACAGAGCCAGGCTGCCTGGCTCCTATTACACTGTAAGGCTACGTCTACACTGGCATGATTTTCTGGAAATGCTTTTAACGGAAAAGTTTTCCATTAAAAGCATTTTTGGAAAAGCCTGTCTAGATTGGCAGGACGCTTTTCCGCAAAAGCACTTTTTGCGGAAAAGCATCTGTGGCCAATCTAGACGCGCTTTTCCGAAAAAAAGCCCCGATCGCCATTTTCGCAATCGGGGCTTTTTTGCAGAAAACAAATCTCTGCTGTCTACACTGGCCCTTTTGCACAAGTTTTTTGGAAAAAGACTTTTGCCCGAATGGGAGCAGCATAGTATTTACATGAGATCATCAGTGCTTTTGCCGAAATTCAAGCGGCCAGTGTAGACAGCTGGCAAGTTTTTCCGCAAAAGCAGATGATTTTGTGGAAAAACTTGCCAGTCTAGACACAGTCTAAATGTAGAGCCGCAGCAAGGGTAGGTCCCAGACATGGCGTAAGCCAATACTGAGCTGGGCTGCTTGCCAGCCTGCTAAAAACATTTACTGGTAAAGGGGCGGGGGAATGCATGTTGTCTATAGCATTAACCTATAAGCTTTTGCTAATCATCCCTACTATGCACTCCACAGATCCTTAGATACAGATACCTGGACAGAGCAGCTGTTTTAGTGCATTGTATGTTTTTGTCCTGATGAACACCCCAGTATTTCCACGAGGTGCCTGATTAATCCTCACATGGAGTGAAGGAGCTAGATGTTGAATTGCCTTATCCTAAGGACCACCATGATCCTATTTTGAAAAGTCTCCCTTCCCCGGTTCACCCCCATACTTCAGGCAAGGAGGCCAGAGAAAGTTGAATGGTGAGAATATTTCTGTTGAGTGCTGTACAGTACAAATGTGTTCCTCTTACTTCATCAGACTAAAGGAAATAGAGGGGAAAGCTAAAATAGCTAAAGTTACTGCAGGTTAATGTTTATTTTTATGCATTAAACCATGCACAATTCACCCATGTAGCCAATGCAAATGAAGTCTGTTCATTAATTGTTTCAAGATGCTTCTGCATCAATAATAAGGAAATTATGGTTGATTAAAAGAAAAGTCATGGCTACTTTACTCATTAGCATAATAAGCAGATGTTGCATACCCTATAAATTGCTAAACTGCTATTAGGAAGGCCATACAGTGATCATATTCAACCATAGATGAAAGCATAAAAAAGTACAATAAGGAAAACAAAAAATGTACTCCACTTTTCCAACTCTAGGTGCTTGAAGTGGGGCCTCCTTATTAAGCCATTGTATCCAGATAAATTGTTATGGCCTGTGGATCTCAAACGTGGGTCCTCAGGGTCATCATGCACTAGCCCTCCACCTGACAGACATAAATTAGAGCTAGAACATTTTGAAGCTCTACTGAGAGAGAAGGCTTCACTCTTTGGTCCTGATTGGTGGAATACTGGAGCTCCTGATTGGCCCAATCCCTCTAATTAAGTCAGGAGGAACAGGAAGTTCTCAGTACAACTAGGCTCCACCTGCTTGGGATGGTTTACCTAGTGCTAATATCATCCTACTGCCTGGTATCTAACTTGTGGTTTCTGATCCCCTGGTTCTGAATCCTGGCTGATGTGGGGTCTTTGCCCTATTCTAACCACTAGACCTAGCCCCCTATGTCCTGGCCCTGACATAAAGCAGCTTTTGATGGCTTTGATGAAAGTTTGTAGCTTCTTCTCCAGATATTTTTCCAAAAATAAAGACCTCCGCTATTTCGTCATTAGTTTACAAGAAGGGAAATATTAATGGTATAAGAGGTGCTGCAGGAGGGACAATGGTGGGGGGCTGTAAGCCCCCTAAGTTTCCTACCATCGCAGGATACTTTCTCCTGTCTCTCCTCCAGCCAGAAGTGAGAACAATGCAGGCAGCTTTCTTTGTTTACTCCCTTCCCTCTCCCCTTTGCTCACCTGAGTGAAAAGGAATGCAGGCTCATCAAGCAGAACAAATGCCTAGCCCTTGCAAACTGTTGCTTGGCTCCTGGCTGAAATCAGGAGCAGCTGCCTGAGAATCAGAGCTTCTGAAATGCTGGTTCCATCTTGGCAAGAACAGAACTGCAGGAGCAAATGCAGAACACAAAGGTAGGTAGTCATACTGCTTGCTTGCCTGTCTTGGTTTACTCTCCCCCTGCCCCCCTACCAGCCAGCCAAAAGCTACTTATGTTGCTGTTCCTCTCTAGGCTCTTATCCCCCTACGCCTCCCCGGCTCAGCCACACTCTTCTCTTCCCTTCCCCTCCCTGGCTGACTATTCTTTGCTCTACCAACAGACATGCAGAGGTATATTTTGCAAACCCAATAGCAGGGCTGGTGCTTTGGTAACATTTTTTTTTCAATTCACTGAGACATGCTAGCTCAGGGAGTGGTGGGGGGAACTAAGCTCAGAAGAGTATTACTGTAGATTTCATTATAGCCACAGATGAAAGTATTGAGGCCACATCTGGAGTTTTGTGTCCAGTTCTGCAAAAAGGATGTGGACGCATTGGAGAGGGTCCAGCGGAGGGCAACCAAAACGATTAGGGGGCTGGAGCATATGACTTATGAGGAGAGGCTGGGGGAGTTGGGTCTGTTTAGTCTGCAGAAGCGAAGAGTGAGGGGGGATTTGATAGCAGCCCTCAACTTCCTGAAAGGAGGTTCCAAACAAGCTGGAGAAACGCTGTTCTCAGTAGTGACAGATGGCAGAACAAGGAGCAATGGTCTCAAGTTGTGGTGGGAGAGGTCCAGATTGGATATTAGGAAAACCTATTTCACTAGGAGGGTGGTGAAGCACTGGAATGGGTTACCTAGGGAAGTCGTGGAGTCTCCATCCATAGAGGTGTTTAAGTCTTGGCTTGACAAAGCCCTGGCTGGGTTGATTTAGCTGGGATTGGTCCTGCCTAGAGCAGGGGGCTGGACTTGATGACCTTCTAAGGTCTCTTCCAGCTCTATGGTTCTATGATATTGTGACAGACCCGGACGGGTCTGGGCACAGCTTAGGGCGTCTGCACAGGGCGAATTGCTCAACTTCGGGGCTCCTTACAACCCCCAGACTGGTGACCTCGCCAAACAGGCCACAAACCAGTCCCACAGAGCGCTTCAGCAGCCTGCCTGAAGCCTCACGAGCAAAACCCCTCTGACACCCCAGCAATATCCATGCCCCAGATGGCCCCGGGCCTCATACACCGGTGCGGGATCTTAGAACCCAATCCCACCTACCCCGAACAAGTTCTATCTGGTTCCGAGAAACCAGCCACAGATCCCTGGTCAATTTACCCTCTGGATCTTACCCACAAATCACGCTGAGCCAATCCTTTAGCATCTAACATCTAAAGGTTTATTACTACAATAAAGAAAAACATGAGAGTAAGGTTGTTAAAGGATAGTACATTACATGCATCAAATCTCCCAGTTCTCGATGCAGGCTCTAGCAGAGATGTTACAGCTGCTGGCTTAAAAGTCCTTGTTGTGCATCCTAGGATCAGGATGGGTCCACAGTTCTTTCTGGCTCTTCAATCCCTGCACTGCTGCCTCTGGGATGAAGTGCTGAGCTGAGTACCAAGATGGAGTCGATCACATGGACTCTTTATACATCCTTCCTGGTCTCTTCATGGCTGCAGCAGGTCACCTGGCCAGCGGCCTATCCCTGTGTTCCCTGCTGGCCGCCCTCAGGTGTCAGCCCTCATTCTTTAGGTGTGTCCCTGGCCCATTGAGTGCCATTGTCCCACAGGGCCTCGCTAATTAGCATGTCCATAGGCTGGGCTCTGCCCAATGCTTAACCACATGCAGGGAAATATTCAGTATCCATACGAAGTACATGCTTTTATTTTCACACACAGGCGTTATACAATCACATGTCTAACTTTTTTTTCTAACTCTCCAATGCGGGGATGCCTCAAGGTGGCCATCTATTCTTCCATTTAGTCCCACTTCTCTGTGAGAGCCTTTCCTTTGCCTACAATAGGCTTTGGGTCAGATTACTAGGTAGGGCCCTACAGGCTGGGGCAT